ATCTTGCAAGCCATTGCTAGTAAGTTAAATCTTCACTGGATATTTCCACAATTATAAAGTTGTTCTTGATTGAGCTATAATAATAAAATAGTACTTGCCTTAGTGATGGTTAACAAGATAGTTTTGGGTCTATTAGACCAATCTGTGTTCAACTATTACTACTCTCTATTTTTACTTGGATTATTGAGAGGAATAAAAATTTGTTTTCAATGATTTTTATAGTAAAGTAGCCATTTAAACATCCTCTCTCTCCCTCTTTTAAATTTCATCATTTGAATATTACATCTAAATACCAAAGCAGTCTATTGTAAACAATTGTAAAGGTAAAGAAACTAAGAAAGATACAGAAAGCTTGAAGGAGAAATCCTTCCCAATCCTGTGGAAGGTGTCAAGCATATGCCTGGTCTTCAAGAATATGGGTGAGAGATTTTCTCCCTCCCAGTATAGACCCATCAGTCTACTCAATATCATCAATAAACTTTTCAAGGCTATAATCAATAAGAAGGTTGTCGAGCACTTAGAAAAAAACAAAATTCTTCAGCGACAAGCAGCACAGGTTTCAATCAGCCTTATGCACTGCTGACATCATAACTACAATTACTCACAAAATTAGTGAGGCTCTTGATGGCAAACACACATTAAGAACCATAGCATCAGATATCTTGAAGGTCTTCGACAAGGTGTGGCAATAAGGTTTGTTACACAAGCTCTCCAGCTATGGAATAACTGGAAAGGTCTTCTTAATTATAAAATCCTTCCTAACAGGAACCCTGAAGGTAGTTATTAATGGTCAGTCCACTGGGACCCTGACAGTCAGTGCAGGTATCCTCCAAGGGTCACCTATCAGACCAACCCATTGTTTTTTTATTTACATTAATGATCTGCCTATAAAAATATACTCAGATCATTTGTAAACGTTTATGCTGAGGATACAACTATATATGGGCAGACCTCTAAAACTTTTGATGATCAGAGTTTGGCAGCTGATCTCTCATCTGACCAAGCACTAACTATCAAGTTGGTGAAAATTAGCTGATTACATTCAATGTCTCAAAAACCAAACTAGTTACATTCCATCATCACTGACTGGACCACAAACTACTGCTGTTTACGATGAATGGATGTTCTCTCAGAAAGGAACAGTGCCTTGAAAAACTACTGGGCCACAAACTCACACCTGACCTCAAGTGGGACTCATACATATGATCCTTTGTAAAAGATGAAGGTAAAATGGTCAGCTCCTTGTGCTATTCTCTATCTTTACAAGAACCAGAAAATGGAGTACTATTGTCATATTTGGGCAAGAGCTGCCTGGACCTCACTCCCCAGCTTTGGCAGAATCCAAAAGCATCTCTGAGCCCTTGTGGGTGATGAATTATTCCCTACCATCCAACCTCTCTCTCACAGGTGGAATGTAGAAAGTCTCTATTGCTACTTCCATGAAAAGTCCTTGGACAAACTACATTCCATGGTTCTGCCAGTACAAACCTTCATGGCAAGGACATACCATGTCACTTACATAATAGCAAAACACCTGCATTTCCTCTGTATTCCATCATTGAGAACAGTTGCTTCCCACAAATTACTGCTCTGTGGAACTGACACCCAAGAGAATGTTTCCCCAATCTCTGCCCTCTTAACCTGTTCAAGTCTAGGGTTAACCATTATCTTCCACTCCTATCTACACAAATTGCCTCTTAATGTAACCCTCTACCTTGAGTGGCCCCTGATTCTTGCACAGGGTGAATCTTAATGTAAAAAAAAAAAAAAATTAAAATAAAACCAGAGGAAGAATGATGGCTTGAAACCTGTTCTCAGCCATCTTTTGTATGTCATGTCCCTTCAGAACGTTGGCGATCGTGGCTCTCCACAATTTCTTGTCTTTTGTAGCTTTTGTCTTTTTGCTATATCTCCTAAACTTTTTTGCTATTCATTTACACAAGCTTGCCAGGTAGGTCATGCATTGTTTTTCTCTGTCCCTTTTGCCTTTAATATGTCCTGTGAGTATCAAATTTTCCTATCCCTCTTTCCTCATTATATGCCCTAAAATTTCAACTCTCCTTTTCTGATGTTAAGTATTAGTGTCCATTTTTGTTTCTATTTTCTCTAAAATTTTGTTGCTGTTTGGTCCATGGTATTCTCAGAACCCTTCTGTAGAACCACATTTCTTTTGCTTCAAGTCTCTTCCTCAGCTATGAGGAGATTGTCTAGCATTTACTGCCATATAGGATTACATAGCAGTTCAGTAGTCTTTTCTTTGTTTCTAATTTTTCAGCCATATGTTCTTATATATACTGATTTTAAAACTATTTCCACCAAAATCAGTCTAGGGTAGGAAGGAGGCTAAAGGGATCCTTTTCATCATGATGAAAGGGATCTCTTTGGCATCCACTCAAGGAGGATGTCAATGATCATAGAATGAAGTTGATATTTAGATCATTAATTGAAAAGGCTTTGAATTTTATATAACAGTCTCGTTCTTTACTTTAAAATGGAATCTTAAGTTTTTGTAGGAATTTTGTTATTTTTGAGTTAGTATAAAATCTTAGTATACCAGAAGAAGACTAACAGATGTTTGGTTTTGCCAAAGGGTAACCTAGAACAAAATTGGACTACAACAAGTAGGAATTTGCAAAACAATGAATAAGAAGGTAGAAAGTGTTGAAAAGTTTTTGGCTTAATTCTGATGTTTGCTCAGATTGGTTAGATTTTGGTGACTGGAACAGACTGAAAATTTTCAGCACCGCCTCATCTACCAAAATGGTTAAATTGTGAATATCAAAAAAAAAAAAAGAAAAAAAAAAAAGAGATTGGACAATAGTGTAAAAATCATAAATAAGGATTAAATTTGAAGAATTTGTATGGACTTTATCAAGGCAAATTGCATCTGAGTTTGCCTTTATAAAGTTCCTCGACTGAGAATAGCTTTTCCTCTTGTATTTTTATTCATTTGTTCCTTCACAGATACACTATCTGAAAATAATTTACACAAATACATATATAATGATTGCATAAGTAGAGGAACTGCCAGTCACAATGTGCTTGGGTGTGTCATGTGATGAAAATACTATTAATAAAATTCAATAGGACTTTTATTCAACCAAATTGTGTTAGAAATGTTATACTTCAGTCTATATTCTCATTGTGAACATTTAGAATTCCTTGATTTGACAAGTACACAAGCATCTAAATGCTCTCATTTTTGACTTTGAATAAAAACAGGTTAGTCAAGACTGGAAACTGAGATGCAATTTTCTCTTTTGTGTGTGTGTGTGTGTATATATATATATATATATTCATTTCTGTAGTTTACTGCTACCAACAAGCAGAAATATTTCTCCTCCTGATGATGGCCATTTCGGCCGAAACTAGTCAAGGAATCTAAATGAAATAATAATAAAAAAATGAAAGAATATTAATCTACAACCCAGTGTGTCTGAAGATTTAAAATTTTTAATATTTTTTTATTGTTCAAAATATATATATATATATATATATATATATATATATATATATATATATATCAGTGTAAGCAGCTTAATACCAATGTCCAGACATTATATTTTTGAAAAAGTGCTCAATACAGAGTAGAGCTTAATAACTTGTACCGCCAACCAAAATCCAACACGAAAGTTAACTTTGAACTCATCATAAGCCTGATGTCTAACTGCTTAATTGAGGTTGTCCCCCCACCCACCACCATAGGCCCTTTTTAAATTTTTTTCCCACCCCTCTCTGTCGAGGGTATTGCTACTTTTAAACCATAAAATAACCGTCTATTCTCCAGTTGAGCAACACCACCTGAGGAGGCACACACAGTATCAAAACATGATTGCATTTATGTAGTGGCTTATAACATGTTTTTGTTATAATTGTTAATATATATATATATATATATATATATGACTCACGAAACAGCACATTTTTATATATAGTGCTCAGTATTAAAAGTATTAAAATAATATTAAAAATAGAGTATTAATAATATTATATAAAAAAAGATTACATAACTTTTAAATATGAAATTTTTTTTGTGGTTTTCCCTGATTTATAAGTTTCTTGGTTAATTTTCGTTCTTTAGGAGGTTCTAGTTTTAAACAATATTTCCATTTTTTCAATTTCTTCCACATCTTTTCAATCCATTTTTTATGTGTGTGTATTAATAAATTTAACATGCTTTTGTTTATGTCTTCATTTTTTTAAGCTGTAGATTTTTATTCCAGTTGTAAAATTTTTCTTTGAAATTAAATTTTTTTAACAGTTTATATAGAATTTATATTATTAATTAAATTATAATATTTGTTAATTTGTATTATTAATTAAATTATAATATTTTATATTGCATTTGTATTATTAATTAATATTTTATTTGATTTATTATGTTATATTAAAGTAAACAAAGTAAATATTTGTTAATATATTGGCATTGACCCATTATCTCATTCTTTTTATTTAATAATTTAATTTGATTATTAAAAGTTAATATTGATAATTTTTCTTCTAAATATTGTCTACAATTCCTATTGGTAATATTACAAGGGTGTACTTTTTTTTATAATTTCCCATTTAACTATAGTAAGTACATTATTTATAATAGGAATTGTAGACAGTGTTTAGAAGAAAAATTATCAATATTAACTTTTAATAATCAAATTAAATTATTAAATAAGAAGAATGAGATAATGGGCCAATGTAAAAATTCATGAAAATTGGCATGTAAAAAATGGATGGAAAAAGATGCAGAAAAAATTGGAAATATCATTTAAAACTAGAACTCCTTGAAGAATGGAAATTAACCAAGAAACTTTGAAGTCAGGGAAAACAACAACAAAAATTGATATTTAAAAGTTATCTTTATATATATTGCCTTACTTGGGGTAAAACAGAGTTATAATTTGGATCAGAGTCCCTGAGCACTGTTTAGTATTTGTTTATATATATATATATATAATTTAATTCACTTTCTTAATTTAAATTAAATTTTAGAAAGAGATACCTACCTCTTCAAATTTTGCCAGCATTGTCTCTATGTTGTGCCCATTCATGGTACGGACTTTGTCTTCCATTTGTTCACACCAAGTGCAGAATTTATTGACATCTGTGCTGTACTGTGGCCACATTTCAAGTTTTCTCTTTACTTGCAGAATGCGTACATCCAGTTGTACACACAGTTCTGTCCATTGCTTATGCCAAAGCTTCATCCGTTGCTGAAGGAGACTGACATCCTCAGGTTGGACAATATGGTTCAACTGATTTACATTGACAAATAGCACCTGGTACTTGTCCTCGTAGATTGAACAGGACACCTGCAAATCCTAAAGAATAAAAAAAAACAGATCTATATTTACTCTTTTGACAAACAAAAGTGTTCAGGTTAAATTTAAGAAATTTGTGATGTTATTTTATTTATTTATTTGTTTATTATTGATATTGCTATACTTATATGGTTCAACTACATTCATGATGTTGTGAATTTATGACCATTAGCTTGTGAATTTACTGTTGGAGTTTTTCAATTTGGTTTAAAACCATAGTTTATTTCTTACTAATGTTTGCCCAATACAAAGCTAAAGAGTCACTCAAGGTAGAGTATTACTGAGTAAGATGTATGATGTGAACATAAGAGAAGGAAGTAGAAAATGAAGGTTTATGAGGATATGTAGGATAGATAATGATTGATCTTAGAAGAGGTTACGATTGTAGTGCTTGGGAAGAATCCATACAGGAGACTGTTCCACAAATTAGTGGTTCTTGGGAAGAAGCTGTCTGAGTGAAACTTCCTTTCTTCAAATGAAATACAAAGGAAGTGAAGATAATTAAGTCCTGTAGCTGTAGCAAGGTGGGCATTAGCTGTAAAGGTTTGAATTAGTTTGAATCATAATTCAGTAGTTTATAAACAAATTTAGAAAAACTGACAGTGTCCACAATTTGAAATTGGATCAAATCCCTCAAAATTTTTTATAATTTTCAATGTTTTTTTGAGCATGGATTAAATGTGTTTATTAATTATTATCTGAAAATTATTTTTGATACAACCAATTAGAAATTTTCACTTATCACAGAGTAATTTATATTATACAAATATATATATATATATATATATATATATATATATATATCAAATATTCAGGAAATTTCCTTCCACTCATTAATTTATACTGTGAGCATTCTAAGACAATGAATTTCATTAGAATATTTAATAAAAGGAGGGTTTAAGATAGGGATATCCCAGGTGGATTTTTCCCCCAGAAGTAATAATAATTGGTCAAGTCAAATGCAATGTACTGTATGACTGATACAACTTGAACCTTATTGAAATTAATTAAGGAATATTTTTATTTAGGGGGAGAGGTGTTGATTTCAATCAGCATGCGGATGACTGCAGAACACTTGTCCCTCCCCTTTTATAGGCAAAAGCACACAAATGCATGCCAGCATTTTTTTTCTTAGCCAATAGGCCAGTTGGTAGTTTGGCATGTCTCAGTCCTGATCTGTCGTCTTGAATTTAGAATGCTATTTTTGTTTGTTCGAACTTGCTCGTGTGTGTCAATTCCAATTTTTACTTTGGGAACTTTTTGCCTTATTACTGTTAATTTTCCTTACAAATAATTCTTGCTTGATATTATTTAATTTTTGCCATCTTTTTTTCTTTTTATTACAAACTTTGTTAATTGTTTGTTGGACAGTTCTGTCCTTTATTTTGCATTTAACCATGGCTACTCACTTCACAAGAGAGCATTTGTAAACGATTTCCCCCTCCCCACCCCCCAAAAAGTTTATTTTAGAATGGATATATTTTAAAATAACTAACATCCTTGATTAAGTAGTGAAAATTTTATTGAAATCCAACATTTAGTAGATTTAAAAAAAAAAAAAACAAGCTATATTTGATTAAAATCTTTTTTCAATGCAAATATTTATATTTTTGCTTCCAGATAAAGAACTTTTCAAAAACGTCTTAGCTTCTATAAGGTATATGAAAATAATTTTTTTAACAGAATTTTATACATTAATAATGGCAGAAAGAGATTGACAGTAAATTTACATTTTCTTTCTTTTTTGGCTTCAGGTGTCAATTTTCCATCAAAATCTTTTGTTCATACCTATAAATTAATGACTGTCAAATTCCTATCACTGAACCATCAAACCTGTCAAGTGAGAAAAACCTTAGGAAGTTTGATTTAGCCTATAGTGTTATCTACAGTAAATTGAAAGTGAGTAATATTGGTATACATATAGCTAACTCAGGTTTTAAACTTATGAGAGGGCATCTGAAGTTTCTGAAATGGTTGAATATCATGTTAGTCTTTTAGAGTTTGTTAACTCAGTTTCTTATAGCTTGATTTTAAAAGAGTTTTCTTTTTTTAACAGTAGCAGGAAGGCAGTACATGGACACTTACAAAATATTTATTTTATTCATTTTGATACTTTTCAATTTACATAGATGACATAAAATTAACAATGCAGAAAATAAACAAAAGTAAGAATGGAAAAAGTATTTGGACACATTTTATATTTTAATACACTGTATTGCTCTATTTTCAGTTACTGCTAGGATACATTTTAGTAATCTTTCACAACTTTTTGAAATGTTGGCCTATTTTTACTTGCAAACAACTTTCAAATCATTAATGTTTCAAGTTTCAATAAAATTTCTAATTGGATTAAAAGTCAACAGACTGAAGCATCTTTATATTATTAAGAAAAAAATAAGCCTGAGTTTCTTTAGCTGAATGTTTCAGGTTGTTATCTTGATGAAAAGTTCAACCATTTTTAACCAAAGCATTTGCACAAAAGAGAACATATTAGCTTTCAAAATAATCCAACAATGGTTCTTTCAATCATGTGATATGCCCCAATACTGTTGAAAGGAAAACACCCCCAAATCATGATACTTCCACCCCTGCACTTTACTGTGGGAACTGTTTTTTTTTATCATCAACATATTCAGGTTGTCGCCATGAGTTTAGTTGTGGCCAAAAAGTTCTATTTTCATTTTGACCAACCAAAGAACAGTCTTCCAAAATTTAGAAGGCTTTTCTGAATGCTTATGAGCAAACTCATCTGTAAATCCTAGTGCTTACCCCACCACCAAGAAAAGTGTTTTTCATGGAATGTTGAAATATTCTTGCACAATTCATTAATAATAAATATTTTAGTAACCAATTTTCCAGTTCTATTTAAATCATCTAGAATCTTCTTTCAATTTACTATTGTTCAAGTTGCTTATGAAGAAATTTTCCATGGAGCACCAGTTCAAGGAAGGTTTATGGTGGTGCCAGATTTCTTCAATTTCAAAATAAATTAATCCAGGGATACTTAACTTATCAATGACCTTGTTGCTCAAACATTCATTCTTTTGTTTAGTTGACAGTATTTTTTTTTTTTTTTACTTTTCTAATACTTTAACTATGACAATCTGATTACAAGAATGTATAGTTAATGACAACTGTGACATCATCACGTGCATGTCAAGTATTGTTAGAACATTTCAAAATTTTCTTTACAAGTGAAAAAGGATCTGCATTTCTTTTTATGATAATTGTTTAATGAGGTACAAATATTTTTCATTTACTTTCATTTAGAATTTTATTCTGCATTGTATATTTGAAAATAAACTTTCCTTAGTCATTGTTAATTTTATATTGCGATGTTTAGGTGGTGTAATGGATAGAAGCTCAGAATGAGAATTTGGAGAGCCAAGTTCACATTCCGGTCAGGTTCTTTACATTCACTTAGACACAAATACCCTTTCCCAAGAGTATGCATCCATCTCCTCCCCCCACCTATGGGTTAGATAGTAGTCTGGAAAATTGATTTTATTCTCAAGAAATTGTTAATGCAATATTCGCTTGCAATAAGAAAATTATTTTTACAATACAAAATGTTTCAGCTTTAAATAACTCACATTGTATTGATAAGATAAAAAAATCTTATATCAAAATACATCATGTGTGTAAATTTAAAGTAAATGTGTGACATTGCAATCTCTGGGGCTTGATCAAACAAAAAGAGAAAAGAAAGAAAAAAGGAAGAGGAAAACGTCTACTAAGTGGATGGTAATTATTGAATTTGCAAAAAGATGGATTGAAAGGTTGAGAAGAAAATTAAAAACGAAATGCTTTGAAAAATCATGTTTTGAGATAATTCCAAGGAGAATTGAACCCAGATAACAAAATTCAGTAAGAGTGAATAAACTCAAGACTGCCTTGTCCTTCCCCATATTCCACCAATAAGAAAGAGACAGTTAAGGTATCTGTGACAATGTCAGATAAATTAAAACATGTCGATAGGTGGTCAGTGAAATAGCATTCATGATTCTCCTGGATCAGATAAAATAAAAAGAGGTTTCAAATTGGCTGGTCAACTTTAATGCCTCAAAACCAAAACTGCTCTCTATTAATCACCACAGAGATCCTTCTCTGCTCCCCATTAGAATGACTGACACTCAACTTCTTGAGAGTGCCTCTCTGCAGCTGCTCGGTCTTATGTTAACTGCTGACCTGAGATGGAACAAATACATTGAATCAATTGCTTTGTCCACCGCAAGGAAAGTTGGCTCCCTGTGTCGCGCCAGGAAATTTTTCTTCCTGGAATCGATCCTCCATATCTACAAATCAACAATTCGCCTTTACATGGAGTATTGCTGCCATATATGGTCTGGAGCCCCTTCTGCTTGCCTTGGGGTTCTTGATAAGCTCCAGAGGCGGATATGCAATATAATTGGCCCTGTTCTGGCATCTGATCTACAGTCGCTCTCTCACAAACGCGCTGTCGCCTCTCTCTGTCTTTTTTACAAATACTTTCATGGCAATTGCTCCGAGGAGCTGTATTCGCTGGTTCCCAGACTTCATGAGTTCAAGCGCCCTACGATGTTGGCATCCCACTCTCACCCTTTCACTGTCAAAACTTCTAAATGTAGCCGTCTCTTCTACTCTAATAGCTTCATGTCTCGCACCTCACCTGTGGAACTCCCTTCCCTATTCCAGTTTCCATGAGAGCTATAATCTCCAACTATTCAAATGTAATGTCAATCGACATCTTCAGTTGCCTTGATCTATCCACTATCCTTCTCCCCATTCTTTCAATGTAGGCTTCAGCCTAAGGCCCCTCAAGCTTGGGGAAACTTCAAATGAATCATTTTTATTTTCTAGAGGTTATAACTTCTAAATAGTTTCATAAACTGAAATTACATCAATATGACAAACTCATATTTATTGATTGTTTCATTGTTATAATACTGGTTATATAAAATCTATTTTTTTTTAATTATGGTTGTGTTGAAATATGTGCTAATTTGGTTTGAAGTAAATAGTAAAATAGTGGTATTTTTTAAAGAATATCTTTATTGACAAACAAAAGATGGTTATTATAGTTTATTTAAAGAATTTGAAATAAGTTTACTTCAAGCGATGTAAAAATATCATTCACTAAAATATATCACTAGTAAAAATATTCAAGATGTGTGCATGGAAGTTAGAGAGTGACTCAATCCGAGTGGGAAATGGGGCATAATTCCATTAGCCTCGGAGCTTCAAAAGGTCATAATCAGGCCTTCACTGTATATTGTGAGAAATACAGCAATTTTTTTTTTTTTAATTTGCATTTCTTTTTACATGCAACATTAGGACGATCATAGAAAGTGTACAATAATCAAAAAGATTACAGAATGAACCAACTCAAAAATTAATTTATCAAGGGAAGTTTAAAAAAAAGTTACTTTACCTGACACCTGTGGAGTTCAGCTTCCAGGTCCTCATAAGATGTGGGCAGGACTTTCCCACTTACATTATGCATGTCCCTCAACCAAGCCAACAGTTCTTCCACTTGCTTATCACACAACTCCCACTGTTTGACAGTAGTTTGTAATTTGGATGTCTGCAAGTCAAGAGCCCCGATGACAGATGCACGTTTGTCTTGGAGGTTTTTCAATCGGAATAACAGATTAGTCTCTGGTTCACCACTTGTATATTGAAGCAATTTCTGGCTGACATCAAGAATGGAGTTATAACGGTCATCTTGCATTTTGAATTCATTCTCAATATTCTGTAAAAAAATAAAATAAAAACTTGGATAAAAAAAAAAAAAAACAAAAAAGCTTATAGTTTTTATGATTTTGAATAAATATAATGTTTGCCCAGAAAGTAGTCTTATTTTGAATATCTCAAGAACGAATTGATGCAACTAGGCAACCAATCAAAGGTGGATATTGTGGAAAGAACTGTATCAAATAACAGAAATCACATCACTTGAGGACTTTCAACAATAACTAAAATGGGTAGCACATGTAACTCAAAGAAACTAATGACATAATCAAGATGTTGACAATCAACACAACTTCAAACAAAAGGTTAGGAAGGAAACCCCTGTCAATACTGGAAAGAGCAATAACAGTTGACTTGAGAAACCTATTTCCCTGAAAAATTATTTTAATAAAAAGATTTTATAAATTTTAACCAAAAGTAGCATGGGCTGCTCAGTCAATGAATATTGAATATTTCCTTATAAGGAAACGGACAGTATTGTCATTACCATGAACTGGCACTTTCTTTTTGGGTGACTCAGTCATCAGTAAGATGCCAGCGAACAAGCTTGTATTTACTTTTTTAAATGTCATGTACTTTTAGGATAAAGGTGATTATCACTCTTCACAATTTCCTTTTTACTATTATCTGTGAATTAGCATAGATTCTTGGAAAAGATAGTGGAGTCATTTCTCATTGCCTTCTCTCTGGTTTTGCATTCAAAGTTGTCCTTCTCCTACACTGACTGTCATCCAAAGCTAGAAAGTCTCATTACTATTTAACCCTTAGCTGGTGGGGATCAGAGATGGATTCATGCCTTTGGAATAGATTGTCAAATACACATTTCTTCTTTGGATATTTCATTAATTCTGTCTTCATATCAGAAGTTACATGAGATTGGTTTTTAAGGGCAAAAGAATCATTTTACTAACCTGTTTTTATTGAAGTCTTGAGATTTTATCTAAATGGTACTTCAACAAGTTCTTTACTATTTTTTAATGCCATATCCCTTCAGGACAGAGTGATCATGGTTCTTCACAGCATCCATTTGTGAATTTTCATGATTTCTTGCCTTTTCTCTGAATTCAAGGTAGTCATTCTTCTAGGCTGGATACTATCGAAGGCAAGACAGTCAAGTCTATTCTACTATGTAAACTATAACTAGTGAGAAAAAGAGATTGAGATATATTTGCCAAGGGAATTTGATCATTACTGGTGGCCTTGTGCCAGGTTAAGCTAAACTAAATAAATGCCTAATAAATTATACAGCTTAAGTGTCATCATGAGATCAGTAAGTAAAATATTTTTACAGTATTTACATTGTTTGGACTGTTGTTCCTGTCTTTATTGTCATATTCACAATTTTTCAGTCATTGTACACTCCAACTTTCTTCAGGTGATATATGCTGGAATTTGAACCGAACTCTTTATTTAGTCTATGGGGGTAGATTGTTCTAGTTCCACATGCCATGCCTTTTCTGGATATCTCAGTTTTCAGTTATTTCCCTTTAGTAACTCAACTCTCCAAGTTTTTGTTCACCTCTGCTGTGACCAGGTATTGAACTCACAACTCTTTGGGTCAAGTTACTAGATTACTTCAACCAACATTTTTATCCACTTGAGGACACATGACCCAGTGGATAAAAGCATTGGGGACACATAATCTCATCTCAGAAGTATAGACAGAAATGTTCTTAATTAAGATGAAACAGTTTTTTTGTTTTTTTTTTTTATTTACCTTCACTTTTTCCATGATGTTTAGCTTGCATCTCATTGAAGCCATATCAATATCAAGCGCTCGCAGTGTGGATTCTTTATCTTCAAGCCATCGGTCAAACCAGAGGATCTGGTCATTGAAATTCTTCCATGTGCTTATCAAGTTGTCCACTGTTGTTTTCCTCTGGTTAATGCGTTTTACAACATTCTGCCATTGCATCGAAAGACGCTTGAGATTGTTTTCGAAATCAGAGTCAGTTGCATCGCCAACTGTTTGCATTTTCTGACCATCAGCAATTATTGCATGAAGAAGTTGTTGCTTGTTTGTGAGTTCTGATGTTAAAGTCTAGATAAATAAAGAGAGAACAAAAAATTAAGTGAAAAATAAGAATGTTTTGTACTAAAAACTTTTTTTTTTTTTTTAAATCATTTCACCCCAAGCAAGGCAGGAATGCCACAAGTAATGCATTGCTACAGAGAATGAAAATGAGAGAAAAGACTGAGTTTAGGGAAGATGGATGAAAGGACAAAAGATGAATGGGATTCAGAAGACAGAAGATAGCAACTGATATTGCATTTGAATTTTTGAAGATTGCATTTATCAGAGAAGCAAGTAAACAAAATGGAGTTCCACAGGTGAAAAGTATGAGAAAAGAGACTGTTAGAGTAGAAGTGATGGTTGCATTTAACAGTAAACAGGTGGGACCTAGATGCCAATCTAGTAGCATGCTTAAATTCATGTAGTCTGGGCACCAGTTAAAGGCTCGTCAGAATGTCATATCTAATCACTTAAATAGCAGTAAATACTGGATAATTTCTTTAAAAATTAAGAAAAGACAAAGTGACAAGAGTTGTGATTTTATTGATGTATGTTGCAATGCAATGAAGTTCAAGAGATAAAATGATATGAAGAAAAACAGAGGCTAGGTGTCAATACTAGGCAAAATCAGTTTTGAAACTAAAGCATTAAATGTAAAAATAAGAGAGAAATAAAATCTGAGTATAAAGAAATAAAACTTATTTTATATGTATAGGTTGAACTGATATTGTGATGTATCATGAATTTCACAGTGACTGGTCTTTTAACAAACCCTGGGTTGTGTTGAAATCAAGACACTAAAACAACAAAAAAACAAAAAAAAAAAAAACCCAAATGAATTCCACCAGAAGCAGCCACTTCCAGGGCAAAGAAAACAGTGGTATTTATACAGAGCATAGACAAGCTTATGCTACTGAGAAATCAGCCAATCAGATACAAGGTTCATCTGAGCGCCAATTACATCAGCTTTGCACAGTATAGTAGGTGGAGGCTGAGGTTTGTCCACTGCCGACCACACCCTCCTAACATCGACATATTGAAAAAGTAATCAAGGTCAAATTGACACCGAGACCAGGTTAACATCAGTATTGAAAAATGATCAAGATGTCATGTGTCTCACTTCAGATCATACGAGGACAGATATTGCTCTTGGTGACTTTCAGAGAAATCAGGTATAGAATTGATCTCACAAATTATTTCTGCACTGCTGAATTCTGACTCGTATATTGGTCAAGCTGTATCTAGGTTGCAGGTGTAGGAAAGAAGTAGCTTACAGGAAATATATAAACATCCACCCAGTAATAAGTGAGGAGATTAATTGCAGGCTAAAATGTAAGGTTCACATTTTGGGTGAGTTGAATAAGATATAATATTAAATCTGAGAGATCAAGTCTTGTGTTACACTTAGCATGATAATATCATTATAAAGATAATAAAAAAAAAAAAAAAAAACAAGATCAAGAACAGCAATTAATTATGAAGACTATTTTTTTACAAATCTAAATACTTCACCTGGTATTTCTTTTGCTGGTTGAGGAGTTCTTCAAAACTTCCTCCAATATCTTCAGCAAGGAGATTTTCAATCTGTGCCAAGTGTGACATCCAGGCAGTACACTTTTCCGTAAAGTTCTGATGCAGCAGTACACTGTCTTGCAGACAGTGGCAATGTTGAAGAACACAGGACTGCAGCTGGTACCACTTGTGGTTTAAGTCTTGCAACTGTTGCACCTTTTCTGTGTCAAGTGCCATTCGATAGCCAAGTTCATTGAGACTGTCAAGTGAAGTTGCATTGACATTAAACTCAACAAGAAGCTCTTTGAACTGGATTAAGGTTTCTCTGGGCAGAGCCTCTTCTGCTGACAAAGACTGCACTTCCTGAATGTTTGTGTTCTGTAGAATTGTCTCAGCTCTTTGCAAGAAAGAACTGATGTTCTCCAAAGACTGCTCAAAGTTTTTTAGCTGCAGCCTAATGTCAGTCATCTGTTGGTGGAATCGGTCAGCTGAGTGCCTAAGTAGAAGAAGCCTTTCCTCCAAAGTGGCTTGTTGAGAAGTTATATTCACCACAGATACTGTATCCAAGTTGGGTCCCATGTCATCACTCAACTGATATAACTCAGACAGTTTTGATTGGAAGATGTCTAATTTATCTTGGAGATCCTAGATAAGAAAAGGGTTTAAACAATTTAAGGTTAACCAATTTAAAAAGTCAGAGAGAAAATCTTAGGAAAGAATTAAAATAATGTTTTCCAGAAGTTCTGCTAAATGAACTGGGTCAGTGTTCAAAATTCAAAACAGATTTTCATGTATAAAAAAAAAAAAGGTTTGACACCAGTATTTAAGCTGAAATGGAGCATACCATTTGCAGCATTGGAACAAGTCACCGAAGAGTTGGACAAACTCAAAAGAATTGGTGTAATAGAAAAAAATTAACTATTCAAAATGGGCTGCACCAGCAGGTGTATGTAAAGAAAAAAAAATAAAATTCATGTTTGCCTGGATTTCTTGACATGATTAAACAGTTGTTTAGAAACACATAACTACCCATTACCAAGTCTAGCAGAAATTTCTTCAAAGTTAAATGCTGGAAGAATATTTTCAAAGCTGGGTCTCTCTGAAGCGTATTTACAAATTCAGATTGAAAATGAATGTTCAGCATTAATGACCATACATATGCACAAAGGATTATATTAGTTTAACTGACTTCATTTTGATTTAAAGGTGGTACCAGCTATTTTTCAATAAGCTATGGATACCATGCTTGCAGACTGTGATTTCAAAGTGGCGTATCTTGATGACATTTTAATCAAAAATGTATCGAAAGAACGACATGTTAGGAATGGGAAAAAAAATTTGGAAAAACTAAGAGTATAGATCTAAGCTCAGTGAAGAAAAATGTCAACTGTTTTTGCCAAAAATTAAATACCTTGGTGAAATTATTGACAAAAATGGTTGTCAACCAGATCTGTCAAGGGCAAGTGCAATTAAAAATGTGTCCCCACCAACAAATGTGACTATGTTACAAACTTTTCTAGGATTGGCTAATTACTATCAAATATATGTACATAATATGCATAATTGGAGAGTTCCATTGAACGATCTACTTGAAAAAAGGAGTAAAGTGCAAGTGGAATGATAATTGTCAAAAGGCATTTGATGAAATAAAAAAAAGGATTTAGATTTATCATTAGCACACTATGATCCAAAAGCAGAAATTATAATGGCATCAGATGCTAGTGAGTACTGAATTGGAGCAGTGATTTTTACACAAATACAATGGCAGTAAAATGAAAGCCTTTGATCATCCTTCACACTTGATTTTACCAGCAGAGAAAAATTGCAGCTAGATAGAAAAAGAGGCTCTAGCAATTATATTTGCTGTGAAGAAATTTCATAAATTTATTCATGAAAGGAATTTTAGGTTTAAACTGATCACCGACCTCTATTAACAATATATGGTTCAAAGAAAGGAATACCTATGCATGCAGCTAATAGACTACAATGCTGGGGTACCATCTTATTAAACTATGATTTTACAATGGAGTACCAACCATCTAAAAACTTAGGACATGTGGATGGATTATCAAGATTAATACCTAAAAATGCAGAACCATTTGAGGACACAAAAAAGGCACTAAAAAGCAAAATGGAAATAAAAAAACATCTTGTGCAACATAGTATTGGAAGAAATAAAAGAAAAAGCAAAAAATGATGTCTTTATTGTGAAAATAAAAAAGTAACTGAAAGAAAGTAACAAAGCACAAAATCCAGACTTAATGCTTACATGTTATGCAACAGTGTAGTAATGTTCGGGCAAAGGGTTGTAATGTCCTGTGTGTTACAGAAGTGAATATTGAAGGATTTTCATAGTAGACATCCTGGTATTTCAAGAATAAAATCTCTGATGAGAAGTTTCATATATTGAACCAAGATATTGAAAAAAATAATGAAAGCTAGCAGAGGTTGTGCTCTGACAGCAAAACTACCTATCACAAAGATAGAACCTTGACCAAAGGCAGATATAATATGATCAAGACTGCATATAAATTTTGCAGGTCCTATGAATGGATCACATTATCTTGAAATTTATAAGTGCAAAAATCCAGCCTCTTCAGTGACAGTGAATTTCTTGCATGAACTGTTTGCGAGATATGACATGCCATAGTCTTTGATAACAGAATGCAATTAAAAGGTAAAGAATTCAAAGACTTCTGTAAGATGTTTTCCATTGAACATATTACGACCATGGCATATCACCCAAGGTCAAACAGACAACCAGAATGTTTTGTGGGAATATTCAAAAGAGTGTTGAAGAAAGCAAGTCTTGAGAAAGTAAATGAGGAAACATTCAAAATTTTCTGAGAGTTTACCCCAATACACCATCAAGCATGTTGCCAGTGGAATTAATGTTTGCTAGAAAAGTAAAATCAGTATTCGACAAGTTATTACCATGTCGAAAAACATGAACTTATTACAAAAACAACACCAAAAGCTTCAAGGTTGGCAATAAAATGTTCTTTAGAGCATATAAGGTTGGCAAAGAAATGTGGGAAGATGGCATAATATCAGCAAGAATCGGAATGTTGATTTACATGGTAAAATGGAAAAGATTTGAATATAAAAGGCACATTAATGGAAGAACTAATAAAAATGCTATATGGCGTTTTCCGATGTGTCAGCACCACAACAAGTCGTGGAATCTAAAAGGACAAGTTCAAGAAAAAGAAAGTGTACTGAAAAACTGGAAGTGGATCCAAGATGGAAATGCTATAAAGTCAAGGATGTTGGCAAATTCTCCAGAGAGTGGAGTGGGGAGATACTAATACAAATAAAAAAAAAAAAATAAAATGTATTAATCTCAAAAAGGTGGGGATTTTGTGGAGTGAATAATAAAACAGCTTCTTTTTCTTACCTCTGATCTGAAGCTCTTTATAGTTATGGGCTAGTTTATATAGTCACCAGGGGTTTGAGTCAGTCTTCAGACTAATTAATACAGGCATCACGGCAAGTTATCAAAGCATTACTTATATCATAGGCACATTATAGCATGTACCAATAACCATAATGCCATCTACTAATCTTCTCAAAAAAAAAAAAGAAAAAAGAATACCAACCTGTATTTCTTTCCAATACTTTTCAACCTGATTGTTGTCATAGTTAAATACCATATCATCTAAAGATTTCTCCATATGAGCAAGTTCCTCACTGAAAGCCTGGTATTTTTCATTGTAGATTTTCAAGCGTTCAACAAGATATTCCAGAAGTTCAATATGTTCTTTAAGCTGAAGAGTCAATGTCTTCCATCTAAAAAAAAAAAAAAAATAAATGACAAAGTTTTATATAACTTTATTTCAATACTAATAAAACTAGAGCATTGCCTGTCATATGGCAGTGTTTTAATGTTGCAAATACACTTTTGGCTGTAGAGATAATATCATGTTTCAATATTTTTTGCTTATTCATACTCCAGCTGTCCCATGAAACACTAATCAGTATAATGAGGCTTTCATCACATATGCGCAAACTCACAATACTTGACCTTTAGACTGAGTCAACAGATAAGAAATACCTGCTGTATATTTTGTGCATTACACTGGTGCGCATATATATATATATATATATATATGTGTGTGTGTGTGTGTGTGTGTGTGTGTGTGCGTGGAGAGAGAAAGGTGTTAATTGTATACAAAAGTTCCCATTACATTTCTGTATATACAGTAGAAAACTTGTTTTTACTGAAATCTTTGGCACACTTCTAATGAAGATATCTACTGAAACTGAAGTGCCAAAAATTAAGATCAGCAGACCATTAATTATTAAAGTGTTTCTAATATTCTTTTATTTTTTGTCTGGTGTTCTGTGAATGATCTTGAAGAATAATCTTTTGTAACAGTTTTTGCTGCTTAGTAACTCTGATAATCCTGTCAAACTGTTGTTTAACGTTATTGAAATTTTATTTCAGATTAGTCACTCTTTTGAAATGGAATGTCAAGTAGACAAGAATGAGCATTTTCAACATCATCTTCTCTTTGCTTTTAATCAAGGTCACAAAGCTGCTTGAGACATTTGTGATGTGTATGGAGATGACTTCATTACCAATTGAATGACACAGAAATGGTTTTCCTGATTCATGGAGGGGAAGTTTAAATTCATAGACTCTCTGCACTTTGGTCGACCTGTTCAGTTTGATGAAAATTAATTTCATGTGCTGATTAAAGAAGGACCACTAAGGAATTGACTCAGAAGATGGCAACCTTTAATGTTATTGTTGCTAGGCATCTTAACACAATGGGTAAGGTCCAGAAACACAATGTATAGGTGCCATGTGTTTTGATGGAGAGAAACATATGCCAGTACTCCTCCATTGCTGCCAGTTTAGTTGCTTAACACCAGGATACTCATGAAAACAAAGTGAGCATGTTGAGGAAGTTCTACCACACCTACCATATTCTCCTAATTTAGCCTCTTCAGACTATCAACTTTTTTGGTAGTTTTCTATAAATTTGAGGAGTATTTCTTTCTGTCTGTGAAGCTTAAAACATAACTTGATGATTTTTTTTTAGTCAAAACCTAGTGATTTTTATTGTTGAGGCATTGAACAGTTAGGGAATCATTGGCAGGAAGTCATAAACAATGAAGTGGAATACATTGTTGAATGATTCAACAGAACTATAAATAAATAATAAGTATTAAAATGAATCATGTTTGCCCTCCCAACTGTTAAATTAACTCAGCCATATAATGTATATGTGATATAATAGTTAAAGAGGTGGTGTGGCTATACCAGCCATAGAGCATGAACAAGGTTTAATACAGTTTGACTGCAGAATGATAGTTGGAACCAGAAAGATAAAAGCACACTATCTCTGAGTTAGCAGCTGCTCAGAATTTTCTTGGACAAAAGTAGCAAGGATATACAAGGAATATATGAATTCCAATCAGATATCAGGGGTGTGTTAAAATTGCAGGCACACACAATTGATGCAAGAGTGGGATCTCCAGTGACAGAAAAATATGGTAACCATACAATGCAAAGAAATATTATATCAATGTATATATTATTAGTATATCAGCTCAAAGCAGTGTACAATATATACTGCAATCCATGGGTTTTTGTAGCTGTCCCATTATTGACATGACTTGGTTATTGCATATCACATTAAGAGAGAGAAAGAACACCACTATTGGAAAATTGACACTATGTTGTCTGATCTGATAAGTCATGTTTCTTGCACTTTCAGGTAGATGATTGAGTTCGAGTGTCAGTAGGGCTTTATGCAAGCTGACAACTCTTTAATAATGAACATCACCATTTGGGTGTCAACTGGAGACTCTGTAGTACTAAGTTAAATGATGCTCCCTGCACACAATAAAAAATTGTTGTATTGTATGCCGGTATGTGTCTATACTGACTTGGAAATAGCACTGAATTCTAGTTAGTTTATAACACAAACACTACTAATTGATATTTCAAGGTGTCTTAAAAATGTATATAAACATTGACAACAAGCAATTTACATTTTGAGGAGGCCACAGAATAGATCAACCAACTCATTATGATAATAATAGATGTAATAAAGAATGAGTTCAATAGTCCAAGCAATACTTGAAATTAAATTTACATGATAAACAAGATCACATATGCTTGAAGAAAGTGAAGGACTCATACCTGTTTTGAATATTACTGGTGCTTTTCTGAATGTCCTGTTTTATGGGAGTCTCACAGACCTGACAAAGTTCAGTGGATAATTTTGTCAGATGTTCCATTTTCTTTGATTCTTGTTGGATCTCTTCAGACTGGGCCTATCAGAAAAGAAAAGAAAAATAACTAAAATAAAAACAAATCAAATTGAGAGATGGAAGAAGCCATTATTAACACCGAGTACACTTTTTGAATATCTATCTCAGAATGACAACGAAATATGGTCATGTCCATTTTGGGCAAAAATGTTAAACATTTTACTGTCCCTTGTGCAATGTCTGTCAAAAATGTTTATGCCCATAATCCTATTGAAAATGGTAATGTAAGATCCCTATAAAATGAATATGTCCATTACAAAAATAACTGTGCCAAACCTGAACTATACACCACTTAGACATTTCTTAAATAGTTTGGATATAACTTTTAGCTGTCAGCTCTCAACATTTTGACACATCGTATGTAAGTAAGCATTTTTGATGACATAAATAATGAAATCGTTCATTTGTGGTTGGTAGTATCATTGAAATTTATATGTATTTTAGCTGAACAAAATTAAAAAAAATATTAAGCCATTTTTAGCTTTTTTAGTAGTATTAGGTCTACTTCAAAACAACAACTAATCTAGCAATGTACACATGCATATAATCAAGTTAACCAATTTATTTAGCTGGGTTCATAACATAAAATGGTAAATTTATAGTTTTAATGGGATGGATGTACTTGGTGCAGGAATATCAACTGCTCAGGCTAGAAGGCAATGAGAAAAAGTCTCCAAAACATGTCTACTAAATATTATATTGGGAAGATAATAAAGTATATTTTGACTTTGTTCAATAGTGCAGTGTAGTGGACAGAAATGTTCTTTTGTAACCAAAGATTTTGATGTATTTTTTTTTAAACTTTGATCTCAGCTCAATATCTGGTCCTTTGTAGCAGAATTTTATGTTGGGGATCTGTCTTTTTCTCTTCTATAAAAAAATCAGACTTCAGGATTTTTTTTTCCTTAAAATATGTGAGTGGGTGATCAGTTGTTTTTTAGATACCAACCACAACGAAACAGGAATAGTGAATAAATACCTGGTTTCACTACAAAATGACATTGAACTGAAGCCAAAATTCAAAAAATTATATCAAGACTTCAAACCTCCACCTTGTTAATTGATTATTGCACAATATGTTTAGATCCTTGGGTTCATATAGGACTTTCAACTGTAAAGACTTTATCATTTAGTAGTATTGTTGGGATGCAGTGGTTTCTAAACTTTCTAGTTGCCACCCACTTCACTCCTAGATCACTTCTTTAATACTTCATTCCCACACCTAGACAAAATACTTCTTTCTTCGTATTAGGTATACAATAAGATTCAAAACATCTTGCACTTTATACACAAGTATATATGCATTTCAACAAATAAAAGTTAACTAAGTAAACCAATTTATTTAACTGTTTTAGCAATATGAAAGGATTTTTTTTTAATAGGTTGGGTGTATTTGGTACAGGGAAATCAGCTTCCTAACATCAGGCTGCAAAGTGAGATTTCTTCATTCAGTAATTATCAGTGAGTTTCTTTTTTTTGGAAAAAATCTAGGTAACTGCACTGTGAAAAAAAAAACAAAGAAAAGAAAAAATTAGTACTTGCTCTAATATCCCTCTGTCATACCATACCAACTTTTCTTTTTTTTTTAATCCACTACTATCCTGTTTTTCCCTTACAGCTCTTAGATTGACCTTCCTGCCAGGGAGGCAGTGCTGACCATTTTGGTAAACTGTAAGGGAAATTGCCAAACAAATTTATTTGCTGATGACAAAGTTCCTTAACTTATCATTTTTTGTGTATTGGAAAGGTAATATCTATGGGACTTATCCTCAGTAAGTTATTTTTCAGACATGTGAATATCTTCATTGAGTGGAAGCTGGAATAGATGTTGAATATCAAAATTTACTTACCTTCATCTTCGAAAGTTGCATCTTGATTGAATAATAATTTCCAGGTATAAAATTACTGTGGTTGCTTAAATAATACTCAAGCTTTGCCAGCAAGTCTAAAACGAAAGCTTTCTCTGTGGAGAACTCATTCCATTTCTCCAAGACACCCTGGAGATGTTTCATTTGTTGTTGGAGGTGCTTACAAACTGCTTGCCATTTCTTTTGCATACTATCAACTTTTTCTTTAACAATTTTTTGACTTCCTGTAGGTGCTAATTCCAATTCCAGTAACTGATTTCCAAGAGCCTTTAAGTGGTCAATATCTGATTCCTTGGCAACAGCTTTTTCTTGTAGTATCTGTCAAAAGGAGAAATAAAGAAGAAAATTAAATCATAGATAATGAATAACAATTTACAGCAGGAGTAGTATTGTTGTCGTGTCCATAAAAAAATAAAAATTAATTATAATGTCAACTAAAATAATTATAACAATTATGATTAATTCTAAACCAATGAGAATTGACTCAAATTTTGTTCTCTACACACACATACACAACATTCTTGCTATCAGACAAGCACTTCACATGGACAGGTCATTGTGTCAATGAAAATTTCAGTTCCTTTTCAGGCTATTACAGTAACATTTATCTTTTAGTCCTAAAAAAAAAAAAAATCCATGGTAAGAAAACCCTATACACTTCATGTATTTTTCAAATAAATAATCTGGACACTCATTATAAAAAAAAACATAGGAGAAAGACTGCATACATTTTACTTATTCTTTATTTTATCATTCTGTTGGATTTTGATTCATATTTGATCTACATTTGATCTCAAACTCACAATTTTACTCAGTATTACTGTCTCGTTTCTCTAACACCACATAACAAGCAGATAATAAATAATACTCATTTTGTTGTTTCCACATCTTGCTGTTTCTCATTTTTATGAATATTTTTTTTTGTATATATAAATGTAATATATTTTTTTTGTATATATAAATATTTATAAATATTAATTCAGACTTCCCACTATACTGCCTGGCCAAATTAGTAAAATCATTTTTGTATGTCTTTAAAAAGGAAAGTTCTTTATAAGCATAATAGAGAAAAGTACCAATTCTTAAAATAATCTACAATTTTCTTAAATTCTAATCATGTATCAGTTGCATACCACTTTTGTGTTATTGGAAAGTATTTAGCCCTGTTGAACAATTGAGATTCCTCATCACCAATATTGTATGTCACTTCAATGTTAGTCTTGTGGTTACTTGGTAACTTACGCTCCTCATCAGTAACATATTAATACATCCCCTTTACTGTCTTTGCTTTCGCTGGTTCCCAGACTTCATGAATTTAAGCATTCTACCAGGCTGGCATCTCACTCACACCCATTCACTGTCAAAACTACTAAATGTAGCCGTCTCTTCTACTCCAATAGCTTCATGTCTTGCACCTCTCGCCTGTGGAACTCCCTCCCCTTTTCCTGTTTCCCAATAGCTATAATCTCCAACTATTCCAATATAATGTCAATCAGCATCTCCAGATGCCTTGATCTGTCCCTTATCCTTCTCGTCATCCTTTCCTCTATCACTCCTATTTACTCTCACTCCAATTCTCTGTAACCCCTTGTATGCTAGTGGCTTCTCGCCTTGCTTAAAAAAGACAAAAAAAATAGTCACCATAAGTCTTTTGTTTTATACTAACAATATAATTAACTAAATTTTATTGAGTCATAAAACACTCTTTAAAAAAAGGTAAATAAATATTTCAACATTTTTTCAGAATATGAAAAGGAAAGCAAAAATTAGGTAATTTGTTTAAATCAAGAGAATCTAGCAGACATTATTTTGTAAGATTGGCAGATATAATTTTGTAAGATGAGTAAAACATTTGTCACAATTCTAGTATTTATTGTTGGAAACATTATATTTGAATTTCTGAGACAATTATTACCATTATTCCAGATTAGATTATTATTATTGTTTGCCTTTCCTTTCAAACCTGTCTGCTCAGTTACAAATAGAGAAAAAGAACAACATCAGTTATCAGTGATGTAAACAGTTTCAAACAAGGCATCTGTAAATTAAAACAAAGTATAGATAACTCTTTAAAAAGTCAGATATTGATTTGACACATAAACAGGATCCCCTTCTAAAATGATAAAAGAAATCCATATTTTTAGATTCTGATAACTGATTGGGCTTAAAGATCTAATGAATGCTAATTTACAAAAATTAATCCATACTTCCCATAAACTTTTTAATAAAGAGACCAGTCAGTTTTTTTAGTGTGATACTGTGATGAAAGCAATAAACATAAGGATGTTAGTTATGAAAAAATCCTTTTATAATTTACAGTCTACTTTATATTATTCATAAAGAGGTTGTTAATTCCTTTTATGAAAAACAAATAACTAAAACATTGCAATAGAAACAGTAAGCCTACAAAGTTGATATTCAAGTGTCTAAGAAAATATTGGTTAACCAGAATGATGTCCAATAACTTCTCACCTGACATTCTTTGAGAGTATGTTTAACATTGACCTCCATTCCAATTATATCTCTCTTTTTAATTTTTTCCTCCATATCTGAAAACCAATTGGCAAGGTTCTTCTGGAACTGGTCAAATTCTTCCCATTTGTCTTCAAATAAAGACAGACCATTAAGTTGGCTATTGAGCTGTTCTTCGACTTTGGCCCAATCTTGTTGCAGTTTAGATAATCGCCTGGCAAAATCTTTTTTCTCTTCCAGTGCACTAGCAGAATCATCATCATCATCATTTGGCTTCAGCACACACTGGTTAACAAAATCCATGGTTAATGCTTTGTTTTCCATCTCAATTTTGAATTTCTAGAAAATAGAAGTTAAAATAACTAATTAAAAGCAGTGGGAAATTGTTTATATGCTAAAATTTATCAATTTACACACAAACACAACAAAATACTTATCATAAAATAATAGCTATTAAGCAGGTTTCATAGAATATTATTATATATGTAATTTTTATTTATTTCAGTAACCAAATGTTATAATATAGAGAAGGCTGTAATGAATTGTCCCCTGTACAGACTCAACATCTCGTATCCTAAATCAGATACAAATATACTCATGCTTACATCTGATAAATAATGTAACAAAAAATATTTGAGTCATAACACCTGTCTTGCATGATGTGTCATTCAAAATGTCTTTGACTTAACTCTCTTACATGAACGGTGTCACTCTACTGCCAGCAGCTTGGTCCTGAGCTAAGCAGTAGTAGTAGGAGGGTAGAAGTTAGAGTAGACTTTTTCAACTGCCCAACACATTTTTAGTGCATTCAATTCTTATTGGATCCAACACCTTGGCCTTATGCCAGACTAAGGTAGGCATGATAAATATCTATATATACCTACACATTTTTTACTTTTTATAGTTATTTGATAGGCATTTTATGAGTATAATATTCATATATATTTTTGTGAGTTAAGACCTTTCTGTAAATTAGGATTTCATATTGACAGAAATTTGTTGTTAAACACTCCACACTGAAAATGACTATTTCTGTTCCCTTGTGTTCTTTATGCCATCAAAGCATATATATATATATATATATATATATATATATATATATATATATATATATATATATATCTGAGATGAGGTATTATAATTATTTACACTATTTACATTGTTTAGACTGTTGTCCCCATCTTTGTTGCTATATTCTCAACATTTCAGTCATTGTACATTCTGGCTTCCTTCAGGTGATTGGAATTTCAAACTGAACACTTTATTTCATCCACCAGGATAAACTGTTCTAGTTTCATGTGTCATGTCTCTTCTGGGTGTCTCAGTATCAATTATCTCCCTTTAACTCAATTCTCCAAGTTTTTTTTTGTTTTTTTTTTTGTTCACTTCTGCTGTAGCCAGGTATTGAATTCACAACTCTCTGGGTTAAGTCACTGGATTCAATCAAGGACACATGGCCCAGTGGATAAAAGTGTTGTTTGAAGTAATCTAATGACTTGGATTATTTCAACCAATGCTTTTATTCACTTGGAGAAAGGAGTTAAAGGAGATAACTGATACTGAGACATTCAGAAGAGGTATGGCATGTTGAAGTAAAACAATCTACCCTGGTGGACAAAAGTAAAGGTTCAGTTCGAAATTCCAATTACCTGAAGAAGACCAGAGCATACAACAGCTGAAATATTGTGACTATGGCAACAAAGATGAGAATAACAGTCCAAACAATGTAAATAGTATATCTCTATAAATTTCAAAATGTGTGTGTGTGCATGTGTGTAATCAGATGTTGTTTATGCATTTCCACAGTTTATATCCGATTTTGATGAAATTTTTTTGTTTGACAGATAATTTTTCAGTGCCAGTTTTGAGTCCAAACTGTTGGTGACAATGGCTCTCCACTACTTCCTATCCATTATAACTCTCAACAACGGTTTTACTATTTACTATCTGTTCTTGGATATATATCTTTCATAACAACTTTAATAAAAATAAACAGTTTAAATTATTACAAAAATATTATTTATTATTATACAGTTCCCTTTTCAGGGCCACTCCCCCCATTCAAATTGTTAACCCCCCATTTGGGGATGTGCCTCGGTTGCACTCAATTGTTGTTACTAATATTAATTTTCAGTTGGGCTGACTTTAAATTTAAACTGCTCCAAGTGAATGGCAAAAATTCCCCAATAAAATTCCCAGTCAAAGACAGGTTATACTGCTATATATATATATATATATATATATATATATATATATATATATATATATATATATATATATATATATATGTGTGTGTGTGTGTGTGTGTGTGTGTATGTATGTGGATGTGTGGGTAGTGTCATAGATAATGCTTTGGAATGAGAAACTGGTGAGTCAAGTTTGTTACATACTTACAGGCAAATACTTTTGGGAAAGGTATGAATCCATCTCTCCTCCCCAAGCTATGGCTTATATACCAGGGCAAACTTGACTCTCTGGCTATAGCTAATAAATAGTCTAGGAGAAGGACAACTCTGGAAGTGATACAAGATAAACTTAGGATATCAAAACTTAAACTTAGGATATCAAGTTAAAAGGAGCCTCGAAGGTTTACCTAGAATGTGTCCTCAAAGCCACCAAATGCAAAATTTGGCCTCAAAGGATATCAGTGGGACACCACTATAAACAAGGAAGCAAACCTGGTTGAACTTAGGATTTATGCACACAAGTTAATGAGATGACAGGAATTTATATAATTGTTCAATTTATGAGGAGAGAGATAGAATCCCTCAAAACAGCATCTCTTCAGTTTGGTCAATGTTAATTTGATTTAGTTCACGAATGAATAAATAATATTTTTATAGTTTGTCTATATTTCTGAGATGAGGTATTATGTACAGTATTTACATTAGTCAGACTATTGTCCTCATCTTTGTCGCCATATTTGTCTAGCGTTTGACCGTTTGTGGCTCGACCTTCTTCAGGTGGTTGGAATTTCGAACTGAACCCTTTATTTCGACACATGGCTGGGGTAGACTGTTCTAGTTCCACATGCCATGTTTAATGAATGTCAGTTATCAGTTAAAGCCTGGAGAATTTTCCTCTGAAAAATCTCCAGGCTTTAACTGATAACTCACATTCTTTGGGTCCATGGCATGTGGATCTAGAACAGTCTACCCAGTGAGCCACTGTGCCATAAAGGGTTCAGTTCGAAATTCCAACCACCTGAAGAAGGCCGAGCGCATAAACGGCCAAAAACGCTAGACAAATATGGCGACAAAGATGAGGACAATAGTCCCACTAATGTAAATACTGTAATATTTTTATGTATAAAAAATTTAGTCTAATATTCTTATCAGTTATCAGTAATGTTAGACTTACCTTATATTTATTAAGCATGGGGCCAATTTTATTCATTTTGTTGATCGGTTTCTTCTTGTCTTCCTTAAAGACGTTTTGCAGCTTATTAATAAATGTGATCAGTTCATTCAGGGCCTGTCTTGAGGGCAAAAGTTCCATCTGTGCTTGGTGTAATGTCTGTTCAGCTCGGCCAATGTCATGCTTGAGTTCTGCCCATTGTTCTTCAATTTGGTCCACATTAATGTTCATCTTTGCAGCAATGGCAGGGTGACTGTTTTGCAGTCTGGAGCCAATGAAAATCAATTTGTTCTTTCCAACAGCTTCACTGTCGATATCTTTTCGAAATTCCTAAAAACAAATATCAGATATGTTATAAACACTATATATCAGTCATCACATTTTTCTTTAGTGTTGATATCTTCAACTCTTATTACAAATACAACCATCTTTGGAAGCTGTCACTCTATCGAGACTATTTTATTAACAACTAAGAAAGTATTTATGCCTAAACACTTATTACTGTCAGAACTTGAAAATGTTAGTTTTACTGATCTGAATTTTCTGAGGGTGATGTAATTCTTAATTTAATGACTTATTTTTTTGCAATTTTCACAACTACAAAATACTCATAAAAATTCTACTATCGTCTCATTAAATAATTGATCTTAAACTTTAACAGAATATTGTAATAATAATCATAATTATCAACTCAGGTCATTATTTAAAGAAGTAAGAGGGTACAAATGAAAAAAAAAAATCAAAAACAAGGTTTTACTGTATATTTAATAAAGACATTTTATAAACTTCTTTATTAACACAAAAGCATAGTACACATGAAAGCATAAAAGTTCAAATACAATATTATAATTTCTGAGCAAGTTTCAGTAGAAACTAAACAAAAAATGACACACAGATGGGCCGTGGTGTGCACACCAACATATCTTCCCTTTTTCCATAGAAACTCAAATTCAAGCTTGCAATATATATATATATATATATATATATATAATATATATAGACCTCTAATATAATATATATATATATAGACCTCTAATATAATATATATATATATAGACCTCTAATATAATATATATATATATATATATATATATATATATATATATATATATATATATTGACTTCTAATATTATATATTTATATTAATAAATATAGATTTTTTTTTTCCTCGCTGGGAGCACGACTGAGTTTCATACACAATGCAATTTTAATTGTGCTACCAGTGGGGAAAAAATGCATATTACATTGAGCACTATTTTATTAACACCATCTAATATATGAAGACTGACACTTGGAGAAATCCAAGAAAATAGTGGCTGAAACATTGAGTATAGCAACCAAGAACAATCTGTTCATCCAAATGGCAAATCATATAATAACAATTCCTTCAGAATTCCAATAAAAGGAATTGTACTAAAATGGATGATGGAAAACATAAACAATGTTTTATAGCTTGTGTATAAATAGTACAACTGGATATTTATTATGGAAAAAAAAATTAACACTTTAAAAAAAATATTAACATACCAAAAAATAAAAATGCTCTCTTATCCACCGAGCTTAACAATTCTTTAGAAACATTTTTGGTGAAAATTAAATGAATAAAAATATATTTACCAATAATTTCTCCATTTTGTTGCGGATGACAGAAATATTTGAAGCATCATCTTCCTGCAGATTCCTGAGAGTAGCTAGATTAATTTTACTTCTTTCCAACCATGTTGACCAGATGGCCATTTGATTTTTGTATTGTTCAGTTTTGTCATAGACTTCTTCAAGCCTGGTTACAAAAAAAAAAAAATAAATAAATAAATAAATAAAAAAAAAAATAAAATTTTTTTTCCAAATTTATAGCAAGTTTACCAACAATATCAAAATAATGGCAGATACAAAGTTCATATTAAATACCTTACTATTATTAAATTTTCACATAGGTAATTAAATATATTTTTCTTCAATTATTACAGTTGTAATTTGCCCTTTCACAAAGTATTATCTTAAAGGCCTGGCATCAACAATGCAAAGAGAATAAATTATTAACAAAATATGCATGTTAAAAAAAAAATGATTGTACTATAATTATGATTTATAATTAAAACTTAATTTTATTATAACTATATTTTAGAAAATAAAGACACAAAAATAACTGGGAGTAGACAAAATTTTGGTCATTTATATTTGAGTTTATAAGCATTTATTTGGTAGGTAGCCTTTTTTATAGAATGCAGTTGATATATTCTAGGCCCTGTTGACAGAGCAAACCATCAAATATACTACTATCTGAAGGTAATAGGGATAGAGGATATATTGCACTTGGAAGAACATCCCATACCAGCTGCATGGTTGCTGTGTAGCATTTTAACTGTGTCCAGGTTAGAGTTGTGGGTGATTAATTATTTTCTACCTTACTAGCCCTTGCCCACAGTGAAAACATTGCTAGCTTCTTGCTACTCTGTTGCTATTTTCATAGCAAATGTTGAAAGAAAACTACATTCCTTAGTTCTATCAGTTCAGACTTTCACAGCTAGGAACTGCCATAGCATCTACATACTTTTGACTCATCCTCATTCCCTTTATATACCATTAGTAATGAGGAGGTGCAGTGGAGTAATGGATAGTGGTTCAGATTGAGGAATCATAGAGCCAAGTTCAAATTCCAGTTGAATCCATTACATTCACTTACACTTGGGAAAGGTATGAATCCTCGTCTTCTCCCCCTAGCTATGGGTAAATAACAGGACAGACCGGGTTCTATAGCCTTAGATGGCAACTAGTCTACCGCAGAAAGAAATGTCAACCTACTGTGGGAAAAAATCTGCCTCATCAGTCATGTATTGAAAGATACAGGATTGCCTAAGCGTGTATCACATATGGCACATAAATGACAGAGTAATGAGGAAGTTCAATTCAGCTTCTTCCACGAAACTGCTACTTTGTGGAACATACTCTTCTATGATCTTAATCTCTACAAGGTCAACCTGTTATTTATCCTACATATCTTCATAATAAGCACTTCTTACTTTCTCCTTTTACACCCTTACAACAATATCATTTGTGTGGCTCTTGGGCCTTGTATTGAGTGAGCAACAGTATTAAAGAAAACATGTTGGAGGCTACCCTAGTTCTGTAAATGATTTTCTTCATTTTGCATTTCTTTTAATAAATTAATTTTTTAATCACCTTGTCCACCATGCTATACTGATTGCCAAAGTAATTAAGAGCTGAGTAAACTTCAACGACACTAATATTTTCCTAACACTGAACACAAAGAGTACTGACAGCTTTTGCATCAATGGAGCATATACATTTTTTATTAACTAATTCTCTTACCTTTTAGAGAGTTCAGAAGTGAAAAAATGCAACTGGCTCCATTCATTAGCTAATGTTGTAACTTGAGCTTCCAAAGATGCACTGTTTACATTATGCAATATCTGTTTTCCCTGGTCCAGAGTTTGGAACACATCTGGAGTCAATTGTTCCTGGGTCTCTTGGCAGTTTTTGATGATATCCTTGGCAGCTGACAAATTCACACCACTGTCTAGATCAGCAGATAAAGAATGACAGCGTTTATTCATCTCTTTGATCTGCAACATCATCTTGTCAAATTGAGTGTTGAAGTCATTCCACTGGTTAACATAAGAGCTAAGCTGCTGACCGTGGAGATTTGCTAAGCCTTGAACATGGTCAGTGCAATCACTGAGTCTTGCATGTTCAGATCTGTATTGTTCACGGACACCCTCACTACAATTTTTCACCAGTGAATCAAGCAAAACTTGGTAACTCTCCATGTCGCTGAAAAAATCCTGGAGAAATAAATTATGTAAAGTTAACAAATTGTGGATTTTATATAATAATGAAGTGACAATTACAAGTATGCACAAAATGATATTATGGCTTCAATGAAACTTATTTGAAGTACAGTAAATTATTCACAAAAAAATGCAACCATGAACTGTGGGTACAACATTACATGCAGTTGTGGCAAAGTGTCACATGTGCGACAAAAGATAAAGAGAAGTAAAGGAAATGACAGAAGACCAACTAAGTTTTATAGTAAACACAAAAATGTTTTATTTTAATTTTAGTGATTAGGTTAGTGGCTAAAAAGGAAAGCATACAAGGCTTACCAAGCAAGAAGTTAGAAATACTTCTAAATAACTTAAATCGGGAGTTGCTGGGTTTTGTCATGTGATATAGTTTGCTAATCAGATCAGTAAATGGTAGTAAACTGCTCTGAAGTAGATTTGTATAACAACTGACTTCACTAGCCAACTCGCTTAATTTTGGTGCCAACCAATGAATACAAATACCTGGATGAAAGATCTCCACTTATAATGTCATCTGACCACATCAAAGAGTTCTTTGAAGTCTTTTATCTAAATGACTCAGAAGTTTCATTCATAAAAATTGATTCTTTTAACACAAAGAGTATAAGAATAAGACCAGTTGCTTCCTAAAAATTAGACTTGAAGAATAACACAAATGTGTAATCTGTGGAGATACTTGAATATCAAATACGGATGGAAAGAGAAGGAATATAACAACCTTTATAGAATTAAATCAAAATAATAAACAAGAGATAGCACTAGAGAATAAGAAAGTTGAAGGAATCTGTACATGTGCTAGGATAATTTGTTCAGTAGACTGAGCATAAACTTTATTAGCTCGTGGGATACATTAGTCAGGAGAGAACAAGTAATGAATTTGAGATTCCATAAGTTGGAAATGTTGGTGAAATTCACTGGAAAGTCATAGATTCACGAGATAAGTTAGAAGATAATCCAAAGAATGCACAGGGCAGATATCAGAATAAAATTCCAGAACAGATATTGTGAGGCTGGAAGATATTTGGCTGAAATATTTTGGTGAAATATCTAAAGGTGTCTGGCATAGAACTCTGATTAGCAAGATTTCCAAAAAGTGCTCATTGAGTAAATTGACTTCTGTGAACTTGTGAAAAAAGTCTTCTTTTTCTGTACTATGTCTCTTTGGAAAATGGGTGATGATGACACTCCACAACTTCCTCCCCATTGTAGCTCTTAGTAACAGGTGCCGTTTCACTACCCTTCCCAATCTCTGTTCTGCTATCCTTTTACACAAGCTTGTTAGGTAGGTTTCTGTTTTCCTCTGTCCCTTTTTTTCTTCAGTATGAACTTTGAGTGTTAAATTCTCAAAGTTCTCTTTCCTCATTATGTGTCCTAGAAATTTTAACTATCTCTTTCTGATTCTAAGTGCCCTTTCATTTCCATTTTCCTTAAGACTTCCTTGCTACTCACATGTTCAGCCCATGGGATTCTCAGCATCTTTCTGTAGAACCACATTTCTGTTCTTTAAAGTCTCTTCTTCATCTGTGATTGTCCAGCATTCACTGCCATATAGGAGAAATGATATTCCTCATCATCATCCTTCAACCTCCCTATGGTTGGTCGGCACCCCACTGACTATCCCTTTCCACAATATTTGGTCCTGTATTGCTATCCCCAGATCGTCAATGTCCAACCCTGAGTCTCGAACTTTGGTGTCTGGAAAAGTCAATTTTCATGAGAAGGCACTTCCAGAAGGATGCCATAGGGGTTAGGATGAGATGATTTTCCTGTCTGCTCAGTGCTAATAGCCAGCAAACCAATATTACCTAACAGTTCAGCAATGTTTTCTAAATGATTAAAGGAATGATTCTTAGGAGATTTTTCCGTGTCTTAATATTTAGTTTTGGAAGGCATCTTTCACTATTCTAATGTGTCTTTGGATTATGGTGATAGATCTTCTGTCAAAACACTTCTCAAATTTTAACACTTGCTTGATAAGCTACTAAGTTCAGTAAATATCTAAGGGTGTCTGGCAAAGAGTGCTTGTTGAGCAAGATGGTTCGAAAGCCATTGTTCCTCCATTGAATGCTTGTATATGAATATGCCAAGGTGAGAGACACGTAGACAATAGATGGAAGTAAAACTTATTTTACCTTATAGGTTCCAAGCTGCTGCTTCAAATGGTCAAAGTCTCGCACGGTCACCTTCTTTATTTTTAATTTGTTTTCAGCAGTGGTAAGAAAATCTGAATAATCTTTCAGGATTTTCTCATATTCAGTTTGAATGGATGAAATCCTCAAAAAGTTGGCTTTCTTATCCATGATCTGAAATGAGCATAAAATAAGTAATTTACTGAAAGCAAATAATTACAATTAAAAAAAAAAAAAAGAAAAAACGTAAAATAATCTACTGTATTTGAAAATATATAAGATCCCTCACAATGATTTATATTTAATAAATGGGACCAGTTTACTGTTACAACACACTGATATCTCATCCCCCCTCAAAAAAAAAAAGAAAAAAAAAGAATTACTACATATATTTTAGGATAGTGCAAATTTTTATAAAGAATTTTAGTGCTACTATAGTATGATATCTACTGAGACATTTGCAACCTACCGTAAATGACAATGCACTTTATCAAACAACCAACTTACAGCCTACAGCAATTAATTCCTCAAACTACATGCAGTGTTATTTTAACCTAAAGAGTGGGGTATTTATTTAATTTGTATTCAGAAAAGAAGGTATTTATGTAATTCCATTACAAAATAAACAAGCTAATGCCAGACAAAATAATCTCAACTGAAGATGAAGTGTTCTTTTTAAGATTTAGTGTTAGGGTTTTTAACATATTTCATACTTCCAATAGTTGGTAAAATGAATAGTAGATATCATACTATAGTTGAAAATGAATAGTAGATGTCATACTATAGTTGAAAATGAATAGTAGATGTCATACTATAGTAGAAAATGAATAGTAGATGTCATACTATAGTAGAAAATGAATAGTAGATGTCATACTATAGTAGAAAATGAATAGTAGATGTCATACTATAGTAGAAAATGAATTTTTATGCAAAATATGAGGGGGTTACACTATACACAGGTAATGTTTTAACCATGCATTTTCAGTGACTGATTGCACTATACACAGTTGAAATTTTTTTCTGGAGGAGTTAAAATTCATGCAAAAAAAAATTCTAGGGCTACACTATATATGAGTATATACAATACATAGTGCAACAAGTAAAGTAAAACCATTCATGTGAACAACTTTGTACTAGTCATTTACTGCTTTTTACCGTCAATTTGTTCTGATATAGTGAAATTTATCCTGAATGTCCAATTGATCAGGTTTCACAACTGAACTGGTTAATACTAAAACATTATGAAGTCAGGCTACTGTTATTTGATATCATCCAGGTAAATAGATACCTCGCTTTTATATGGGACAGAGGAGATATTTTTAAACTATTTTGGGGGACAAAAAAGTGGTGCAATTGGCAGGAGTGCCTCATAGGACTGGTATTCTGACAGTGATGTATTTAATTTAATTTCAAATAGAGCAACAAAGTTATCCTTCTATTTACAATAATAGAATAATAAAAAATTGAAAATTATGATTAACTTCACAAATTCATAGGCTTGCAGCCATGTGGCGTTGAAACACAGGTTCCCGTACGATCACCAAAGTTAAACAATGTTGAGCCTGTCAGCTCCTAGATAGGTGACCACTTGGAAATATCAGGTGCTGTAAGCTTGGATATACAGAAGGCGTAATGGATAATGGTTCGGAATTGTTAATTGGAGAGCCAAGTTCCAATTCCAGCTGGGTTTGTTATATTCACTTACACTCAAATAATCTTGGTATGAAACCACATCTTCTCCCCCTAGCTCTAGGTTAATTAGTAAAGCTTCTATCACTAAAGTATTATTATCTCCACCACTAAGAATTAAAAAATCTAAAAATATCTGGCTTTATATAACCTGCAAAGTGTTGATAAGCCATTGAAAACAAAAAAAAATATCAATTTTTGAAAGATTTTATGATGTAAAATGAATCATTTTTTCCAATAGGTTTTCACTTTTTAAAACAACCAGTTTTTGAATTCTGGCAACTATTCAGTGAGGTTGGTCAATTTTTTTTTCATAGGTCAATAAAAGTCTGACAACAGAAAGAGATTTATTCAGTGACCATAATAAGTGTTGTAGCATACCTACGGACAATAATTGGTATGTTCCCATTCACATAAATACAGTAGTAAATACTGTATGTTGGTCTGCAGTTGGAGAGTCATTGTGGAATTCACTTGACTCACTTCTAGCATCTGACTACTACTTCTACACACTGCCGGTGAATCTTATGTGTTGTTTGGTTCCTAAGTATTATCGTTCATTAGCAACCTTTGTTTGATTATTCTATTCAGTAAACTTCCCTAGGTTACAACTATAAGGTTTTAAACATTCAAAAGTAATAAAATCAATTTCCAATTTTATGGATATAAAATCTTGTCATGAGTCTTGCACATGTATTGCAGCCATAGCAACTATGATATGACTAGGGCAAGATAACCTGACAGAGGCCATCTCTTTTCAAGCTAATTTTTGAGTTTTCCTTCTAGATTGGTTGCCACCTCAAGGTAAGAGAGCTCAGTCAGCTCTGATATTTAACCCATAGCTGGAGTGTGGGGAAGAGATTAATTCATACTTTTCCCCCAAAGATATTTGTTCATAATTGAATTTAATGAATTCAGATAGAATTCAAATCTGGCTCACCAATTTGTTAACTTTTATACTACATAAAATCTGCAAGTATTAAAAGGTTATTAAATGTTATGGGTTTGTAGATCCTAATAAGATGACTGCTGAGAATACCTTGTTATATGGTGCACTCCTGAAATCTCAAGCTATTTTATTTCTGCCAGGTTTCATGTCAATTAACTGCAACTTTCTTTGTTTGGAGACGAAACAGAATTTATAACTGATTTTGTGGTTTATGCAAATAGGAAAATTTGCCGAGACTTGCCAGGAAACAATAAATATTCTTGTTATGGGCCTGACCATGATTTTGAGTCATGCATTGAAAAAGACAATAGCATTAGGATATAGATTTAAAGTGACATTTATTGCAAGTGTAAATAAAACTTCTCTAGAGTGCAAACAAAACATGCATGTACAGGAGAAGTAGCATAACACTGACATTCAATCTTTTACAATGTTGTGTAATGAACTTATAACAATCTGAAAATTTCATCTACAGTAACTAATACCAGGTTTAAGAATGGTCTCATTTTTCTTGTCAGATACAAATTTTCTTTATTCACAGAAAACAAAAGTGGGGACTTCTTTTTTTTTTTTTTTAACTTATTTGAATTATTTGGTTCTAAGCTTTGGAAAACAAAGACAAAAACTAAAGATAGTTGCATCTTGAGAACTTAATTCATTCTCCCATGGGAACAATTAACAATTTGCAGATCAACATAGTTTGAATAAGCTTTAAAAAAAAACCCAAAAAAACAACAAACTTAGAGAACACATTAGTGTAAAATCAAATGTTTTCTTTTAATAATAGGAAAAATAATCTGAGAAAGAATATAACTACTAATTATTTATTCATTGATTTTTTAATGCCTGACAATACCAACTTTGTGAGTTGAATTGTCTTCTTTCACTCTCAATAGATCAATTTTTTTCCATCCAATTTGGTTTTATAAATTACTAGCAGTCTTCGCAAAGTAAGATATATTCACTACTTAAAATCTTTGAAACAAAAATTTTAAATGAACATTTCATTCATAAATTGGTTGTAAACACAGAAGAAAACATATTTATTCAGATGGCTAAACATTAGAATTTTAGCTATTTTTAAACAAATGAAACATGGTGAAACTGAATAACATTTAACAGGTGTTGACAGAAATAAAATACGTATATTTACATGAATGAAAAACCTAATGGTGAAAAAATTGAAATCAAAATGAAGTTTTTTTTTTTTTAAATAATTCTTACTATAGTGCAGCAGAATAGACTCCATTTTTTGTTTTTTTTATTTGGAGCAAGTATAAATAAATTCCTTCCATTTTCAACTCTTGAACAGGCAATATATAATTGACCATGTGAAAAGCAGGGTTGCATAAGGTAATGTCCAGTAAATTTCATTGATTGACCTTGTGATTTATTAATAGGCATTAAAAAACTTACACTGACTGGGAATTGTAATCATTTAAAATCAAAAGGCATATCTGTTGGAATCAATACAGTCTCTCTTTTCCCTTGACCAGTTCCAGTAAGTGAGGTAACATTTTCTTCACAATGTGTACCATTTCATAACTTTGGAGGATCAAGATTTCTTAGCAGCATTAATGGTACTCCTTGTTTTAATAGCAACTTGTGTAATGGCATTCTTGGGAGATCCAAAGAATTCAAAAATTCAATAGGGAAGTTAACTGCTTTGTCTGGATACACAGTTGTATCATTGGATAGGTATGTCCTTTCTTCTGTTCGGATATCTTGCAGAATCTGTACTGTTTCATTTCTGGGAGTCAAAATTGCTCTCTCTATTCTGAAAGTTATCTGCTATATTGAGGTATACTTTAGAAATTAATTCCTCAATTCTCTCAACCAGAGTGCTGAAACCTTCAGGAAAGCTGATTTGTCCATCTTGATCATGTGAAATTTCTCCATTTTCAATTTTTAAAAAGAGGTCACTAAATTCCTCTTCTGCCCTATCTCCATTGAGTTCCACTCTCATATTAGTGGTCAAAAAGTGTCTTTCAATATGATCCCACAGATAAGAACTTTACAGGCAGGCATGAAGTTCATCTGCAGCTGTTCCTTGTTTGACAATAGGGAGTGTTTGTCTGAAATCTCCAGATAGCAGAAGTGTTACTCCTCCCATCATTATGTCTGATATTTTTCAGTGTTCTGTCTAAAGCCCTAAATACACCCTTGTGAGCCATATTGCACTCATCCCAGACTGTGAAGCAAGTCACCTGAAGTAGCTTATCTAGGTTTGTACCTCTATTTATGTTGCACACTGCATTGTCATTATAGACCAAGTCTAATGGCAGTTTAAATGTTGAAAGAGCAATTCTTTTACCAGTAAGCAAAAGTAGCTGCTATTACAGATGATGCTTCAGCTAAAGCCACTGTTTTTTGTACTCTGACTAAAGATAAAAGATTAGTTAGGAACATTTTGCCAGTACCTCCAGGAGACTCCAAAAAGGAAATTCCTCCAGCAGAATTGTTGATCCTTAACATGATTTCATTGTAGATGACTCTCTGGCCATTTGTAAGAAGAGATCTATTAGTCTGTATTTGAAAGATCAGCTCTTCATTGTTGTATCCAGTCTCTCATGATTTTTCTATTTAAGGGATCAGAATCTCTGTTTGGTTTGGGAAGTCCAAAATGGGACAGTTCTTTCTGTCTTACATTTAGCCCCTTATCTTCGATTTCACACAGTACAATGTTCACAATCCTTGGATTCATTTGTATGGCTAGTCCTGGATAAACTATTTGCATATGATGAAGAATGTTTTCACTCATAGCTTCTTGGTGTTTCATCCACAGATACATTAGATTTGAAATTTGACAATTAGCAATCATAAAAGCAAAGAGATCCCTTATTTGCTTCGGTGATTGATTTGAAACTGCCTTTTTGTAAAGTTTGGTCCCAATGCTTATCACTTTCTGTAAGGCCAAGTTGAATGCATGCCTGTCTGTATGTCTCAATAACATTTCCATTGGTTGTTTTCAAATTTTGAAATGATCTTGGATGCATGACATTACGAAGAAGAAGTTGAAGAAAGAAGCATTCAGAATATGATATTTATATATAAATTAAAAATAAATTTGTTTCTAATTTTTGTTTAAAAGGGTACAAAAATTTTAATATGTCCAAAATTCCAAGTATCTTGTTAAAAAAGTAAACCTTCATTTGATATTTTAAAATATTGCAGTAATTATTGAAAATCTTTTAATATTTTATTTTAGTTACATTTGCTACCAGAAACCTAAAGGTATTTGTCAAAAAGAAAAAAAAGTAAATAAATAAATGCATGTTCTCTTTTTATGACAGAGATTTATGAAAACTTTGGCAGACTTAGAATATTTTTAAGCCAAAGTTATCATTTGAATTACAGCTTGTTCAAAGTATTTTCATGGATATAATAATAGAAAACATGCCAAAAAGCAACAAAAAAGTTTCCATTTGAAGTAAGTTCAGTGGAAATTAATATCAAGAAGAAAAAAATAGATATTAGACATTTAACTGGTAATTGTGAATGGATTTCTAATTAAAATTACAAGAAGAGAACAATCATTTAATAGAAGTTATTTTAAGCAGTGTATACAAATTAGTCATTAGCCTATTTGTGTTAAAACTTTTTAAAAATAAATAAATTAAAAAAGAAGCATTTTTATATTTTCTTTGGTGGGGATACGTTTGTGTATGAAATATTGTTTGCTTTTTTGACTTCTACTTAATCAGAAAATGTCCATTTTGGTAGAATGTAGTTTGTCAAATTTTCTCACTGTAACTTTTGTAAAAAAAAGTATCTAATTATGGATATATAAACTGATAAATGTTTACCTTAGAAAAATAACCTGGTAATTTTTCTAGGAAAAATTAATTGTTTTTCTATGGGATTAATGCTCACTATTTATGAAATGTTGAAGGGGTTGTGGACATTTAATATATTTGTTCAAATAATATGACTGTAAAGACAGAAGAAATTAATTGGTTGGGTGTGGGGGGGGCAGGCTTGTTAAGAAAAGTTTTACAAATAGATGCCAACTTGTTGAAGTCCAAGTAAAATGCAAATTTCAAACACATTTCTGCACTATATAAAACAATATTCCTAAACAGAACTATTTTTGATATGAAAATCAAAACAATCCTTGAATAAAAGAACAGTCTCAGATACATACATAGATACAGATGAATAGTCCGAGATACATACATAGATACAGATGAATAGTCCGAGATACATACATAGATACAGATGAATAGTCCGAGATACATACATACAAACATGCCATGATACATACATACGAACAGGTCGAGATACATACATACATACATATGAACAGGCCGAGATACATACATACATACATATGAACAGGCCGAGATACATACATACATACATATGAACAGGCCGAGATACATACATACATACATACATACGAACAGGCCGAGATACATACATACATACGAACAGGTCGAGATACATACATATGAACAGGTTGATATAGATAGATGAATGTACTGACCTGTCTTTTAGCATTCATAAATACAAACTGGAGATTGGTGAATTCACTGACCACCCAATTTGGAATGATTGGATCAAGATTTTCATCTGAGGATTTGAACAGACTGGTCTCCAGTTCTTTCAGCTGACTTTCCATATCCTGGAAAAAATAATAATTTAGCAAAAGTTTTGTTTAGAATATACTTTTGTCAAAAAAAAATATTGAGGTTACTGAAAAGATCTCAACCTTTCCTGCTTCTTAAAATCAATATTCTAATGTTTGGTCACTGAAAAATACTGATTTTTTGGAAAAGGAATCAAGCCAAGAACTTTTCAGCACCAGCTTATACATACTTAATTTTATGGTTATTTTTTTTCATGGTGCCTCATAATTTAAACATAATATACCTCACAATCAAGTACCTCACCTTAGTAAAGTAGTTTGCACAAATAATCTACCAGACCATTATTACTGTAGACATTTCAAGTTTCACTGAGTGCCCCACTTATGTGGCCTTGTACCAGACGATGCTGAATGACTAGAGAGTCAAAGCATAAAGTAGGGGTTAGGCCATTATTACTGTCATGAATTCAATCCTCATTGGGCATTTTGCACTTAAGGCCATGTGCCTATTTAATAATATAAAACTTCCTGGTTGCTTAGTTACATGTTTTCTACTAGAGATCTTTTTGAGCCCAGGTAAAAGATAGAATTCTACACTTCTAACTTTGGAAGCAGCTAGGTCATCCCAGCTTAGAAGATTAGCACTACACAATCTTCCTACCCATATCTATCTAAACTCAGTATTTTTCCTTAGAAAGCTGGTTAAATGCCAATGGAATTTAAACATACTAAACAAAGAAACTTTTGGAAGCATATTTGTAATCAATATTTCATTAACAAATGAAATGTGTTGTCAGTATGGACATTTTGATTAAAAGATATTGACACAAAAAGTTGAGTCAGCCAGTCAAGTACAAATTCTGCCTAGTCTATTGCACACACTTTTGCACAAGTGCCTTTGGGAAAAGCATAAATCTATTCTTTCTTCCATCAGATATAGATTAAGTAGCAGGGTAGACTGTGTTCTCTTGCCTTGGGTGGTAGCCAGTCTAGGAGAAGGTTAACTTTGAAATTCTCCACCTTGAAGAGAATAACAAGAAACCACTCCATTATCTTTCCCAAGTATGCATGGCAATTCCCAGAAAAGGATTCTATAGGGAGTCATGATTGCCTATATCCTGAAAGGACATGGCATTAAAAAATAGAAAAATAAATAGTTTGGCGCTAGTTACAAAGTACATTGCCAGCTATGTTTGTCTAGTTTTAGAAAAACAAAGCAAAACAAAAAAAGGAAAAGAAAAGAAAACTTGGGCGTGGTAATAAAAAAAAAAAAAAACACAATGTTAATGCCGGTCAAGTCACAGAGTGGTGCTACTATCACCTGCTGTTTTAAAAACAACAAAAACTTAACTGAATTTTTACAAACAGAACATGGAGACTATCAGTTGAAGATTCAGAGTGTTAATGCAGGAAACCAAAGTTGGAATTAGTGTTTTATTCCTGCCATTGATTTCTTTAAATGAAAAGCTTGTTCCACTGAACTCTCCCTGACATCAGTGACAGAAATACAGGGTCAGTCTCCAATCTTATCCAATCAACCAATACCAAATCCAAAATGACAAAATAACAAGACTGGCATTAGTCATTGTGATTTGAACAAACTACTGTGGGTGGTTTAATAGCTATCAGTGCAGAAAGTGAAACCAGTGAGTGAGTTCAAATTCCAACCTATGCCCTTGAAAAAGGCATGAATCCATCTTTTTTTCACCCAGCTAAGAGTTAAATATCAGGGTAGACTGTACTCTCTAGCCTTGGATGGCAACCAGTCTAAGATTTTAACCCTGAATTCTTTACCTTGGAGATTGTAACAAGAAACCATGCTATCTTTCCCAATAATGTATGGCAATTTACAGATAATAAAGAAAAGATGTTTGCAGAGAGCCTAACATTGCCCATGCCATGAAGGGACATGGCATTTAAAAGCAAATAGCTTCTTACTACTTTGCTTATTACAGCTACAAGTCTGTAACAATCTCTAAAATAATTTTCTCATGGGTGGTAATTCTTAACATTGTGAGTTCAATACATTTTGCTTTGTTTGGACTATCTCTCTTGTCTCTTATTGCTTTTTTTGTTGCCATGCTTAAGTCACTGTACACTTATTGCCTACTATCTCTAATACAATCAGCAGACTAAGTATAGAATGCAATAATAAATTGGAGCCACTGATCAGAAAAGAAATGCTCATTTTGAAATCATAAAAATGTGCAGAAACACTGGATGACACATGTTTGGAAAGAAATGTGCACTCCCCACCAACAGAACAAGGTTCAATATTTTAAAAAAAATGAAACGGGGAAAATGAGGAAGGTCTGATTGTACAGTGTCTGTAACATTGGAACAGAAAAAGAATGAAAGCTGAGAAACCTTGTCAATAGAAACAATGCAATTAAAAGAGCTAGACATCAAAGAAGTTTAGTTGACATCTTTCAATAATTCTTAAAAGATGAATGAAAGCAGGTACACTGGCATGCTTTTTGACTTGAACTGTTTCTCTGAGGCATAACTGTGTCATCACAATGTGTGTTAAGGACATAGTCACAAAGAATTATTTACCAATCAGCTTCTTCCCTTTTTGGCCATTTTATCGCCTACTTCTTTATTCAAGGATATTTTTTGATATCCCTTATGAAAAAGAAGCTGCAAAATTCTTTACCTCTATTTGTTCAATAACAGCATTGAATGATTCTTCTGTGTCTGGTGTACTGACACTGTTTCCCAAGGTAGTCACTTCATTCCTTAGTTTGGTAATCTTTTCCTGCAAACAAAGATAACATTTTAGTGACACAATTAATCAAGTAAGTATACAGGCTAACAATTATACAAACAATACAATACAAATACAAATATTAGCATGGCACTAATTACTATATGTAAAACAACACAAAAATAAAATACATCTTAAAAAGTCAAAACATGAAGAGAAATTAACACCACCGAAAAGAAACCCCCTTGAAAATGGCTAAAGAAATGGTCGAAAGTGCTTGGGACAATGGACAATATGGAAAATTTTTGTACTTCCATGAAACAGAAAAATGTAAGAACACTGGAAAAATTTTGAACTTGGCAAATCGAGCCTTAATCCATGCACACACACACACACACATATATATATATATATATATATATATAAAATAAATCTTAAAGATTTTTTTTTCCCCTATCTTCCTCTGTCACATGGTTTTATGCTAATTAGTTTTTGGTGGTTTTATCAATAAATACCGTTTCGTGTCATTTCCTCTTTAACCAGATTACCCTGGAGATCTATTTAGGTGAAAGCTAGGTAGATTGTTCCTGGCTCTCGAGGATTTATTTTATTTATCACAGATCTACTACTATATATTGAACATTCTATGTTTTAGCTTTATTACTCGCTTGGGTTTTTTCTTTGGACTAAAAACTTAAGGCACTGGACGATTTATATCGCCCTGTTTGGATGTTTCTAATTCTTTCTTTTTTTCCAATTTGTTCTTTTGATACGAATTTGTTTTGATAGACTTTCAAGTTGTGCTATCAGAGGTTTTTTCTAACTGAGTATTACTATTAGTATAATTATATATATATATATATATATATTATATACACACACATACACAGGGTGCAATAGGTAAACTGTCAACATTTTATATTTTTAATTTTGTGCATACACATTGTTTTTGAGAAAATAGCACGATGATGTAATTCACTCCACCAGAATTTTGGAATGCTGGAAGCTCCAATATGAACATTTTGGAGTGTGTGTGTCAATCTGAGGATAGTGAAGAGGATTCAAAAAGAGTCTAATGGTGATTACAAAGGTGTTTGGAGTGGTCAATAGTGATGGCAACATTATGCCTCCATTCATTTCCCACAGGGCCTCAGACTCAACACAGAGGCCTACATCAAGTGCCTTGAGGAGGTAGTGCTACCCTGGGTCAAGCAGTTGGCTGCTGGAGGATCCTGCATCTGGCAACAGGATTCTGCATCATGCCACACAAGCAGGAGAACCCAATCATGGCTCTCAGACAATATCTATGAACATGTCACTCTTACATCTGGCCACCCAACTCCTAAGACTGTCATCCCCTTGATTATTATGTGTGGGGGCACAGTTGAGTGAGAGACCAACAAAACTATGTAATACCAAAGATAAACTGAAGGCAAGTATTACAGCAGAATTCCCTAACTTAAACAAGAAGACTGCCCAGATGAGATGCAGAAGATTCCAAAGTTGTCTGGAGACCATGGTTGAAGCCAATGGCAATTTTATTGAATAAATTTACTTTTAGTATTTCAAGATATTTTTGTATATATATATATATATATATATATATATATATATATATATATATATATATATATATATAAAATTATAAAAATCAAAAAATGATCTCATAAATTTTTAATCATACTGCAACAAAATAAAATCCAGTATAATTATTTTTTTACTTTATAAAGTAAAAACATAATTATACTGAATTTTAATTTGTTGTTGCATATAAATTTGAGATCATTTTTGATAGAGGATTTTTATAGATTTAGACATTTAGTTTTAGATTCTAAACAATGGAGTTTAACCTGATATCAAGAAATGGTAATGAATGGTTTCTATTTCATAAATTCAATTTTATGTTCAGTATCATTTTCTTTATTTACATGACCAGATAATATTGTTTTGTGAAGATCTACTAATAAGTATCATTGCTATATTGGAAATATCTTTAGGCAAAATGATTCTGAAAATGACCAGTTTCTAGAAAAAGAAAAAAAAATGTTAGTCTGAATCTATCTTGACAGATATGCAGAAACAGAGAAACATGTTTATATATTTATACATACAATATGTTTCTTGCCTGAGTTAATATGCATTGTATCAGCATGTCTTAATATTCTAATGTGATATTATTCAAGTTTCAGTTGGGACAGTTTGTACTCAT